CTCTGTGTATTGTAGACGGGCCTTTACGATTTCCTTATTGATTACGTCTTACGGACTTATGTTTTTCTATGTGCCATGGGCTTTACTGCTTGAGGGTGCCGTCCCATGTACACCCACAGTAATTGATTCTGTCCCTCGGAAATTTTCACAAAATGAGAAGTGAGCACCTTTCTGTATTAATGTTCACAATCCATGCACGATTGATGACGCAACGCAACTAAACTTTACGTCCGCTTACAACGACATTTGACGTAAAGACGAAATAACCTGAATTTTCGGGAGTTTTAAATAAGTAAATACATCAGATATGAACGGAATTTTTCCATCAGCATGCAGATTATAGTAAGTTGTAAGAACAATTGGTTATATTTTAATGTGTTGAACGGATCATATATCTATATGGTATTTATAATTTATTATTTTACATTTAAATATTGTCTAGAATCTTGAATCATTTTCGTGATTATCTATTTCAGCAATTTTATCCGATATCTCCGTGGAAAAGACAGTGGCAAAAGGATCTTGGCGTGGAGTGCGAGAAAGCGCAAATATTATTTAGCAAGCTTCCAGGAAGCTAACATTAAGGCATTTCAGATAAGTTTTCTTTTCCTTAAAAGTTTCACGATACTAAATAAAAAACAATTGCTTTGTGAATTTTTATTACATTTTTAGGTATTAAAGTCTAGAATAAATTACTATGAAAGTGCACGAAAGGTTTCAGTAGCGATATACAATAGACTAAACCCATCCTCCGACATAATTGTCTAATGGCTGAGTTATTTCGCAAGGATGAAAGATGACATTGAGAAGACCCATAAGCCAAGGAGTCAGATGAGGACACTCACTGAAGATATTCAATTCTTTATTAGTAGCACTGTTCTTCATTAGTAACATGGTAACCGCACTTCTTAATTAAATCCTTCTTAATAAAGTCCCTGCTATTAGATGACAGAATTATTTCTTGAACGATTGATCGAATAAAGAACAATGATCACGTGATCATAATCACGTAATCATAAACGAGATTATGATCATAATTATGAAAATTCTTTGTGTGAATATCAAGTTATTCTATCAAATATCAAGTTATTCTCTCTTTACGTATAATATAATTTCAAATAATTTCTTTTATCACTATGATGA